TTCTATTTCTGCAGGCTTATTTTCTGTGATCTCCCTGAGCATATACATACACTCACATAATTGCTCTTTATTAATTTTATAAGAATTAATATAGTAACTATTACCTTCTGGTCTCTTTCTTCAATTGTTAGATCCATGACTGTCATTTGTGGCTAACCTCAAAACTAGTCTTGCACAATACCTTACCATTAAGTGGCTGGTAGAACTACTATGAAGGCAGGCTTCTGGCATTCTGCATACACTATTTTGGAACTGGACTGTTATTTCTCTGTTTTTGGAACTGTACTGAACTCCAGGACACTTGTTCTCAATGCAAGGTGAAGTAGTTTAGTATTGCAAGTAGGTTTTTAGCTTCACACAAAGTAAAAAAGAACTAAACTCAGATATAACAAGAGAACCAACAAGTCACAGGAAGCTTTTATTAAAATCTCACTTCAAGGAGCAAGATCCTTTTTCTGTCAGCCTATTAGCAATGGCAATAAACAAACACACATATTTTAAAATGTAGCAGATGTTGTTTGAAAACAAACTAATCTCCTCATTACTATACATAAAAAGCCTAATGCAACCTGAAAGCAATATTATTGTGCTCAAGTGAATGTATAAAAATCTAGTGAAAATACTGAAGTGGATTTTTAACAATTCGCAGAAATTGTCTAAATTAACTACCTCAGTTTTTCTTTATTAAAGTTTGTTATGAAATACATTAAAACAAACATTCTATTTAAGACTCTGCATTACTGAACAGCAATAAATTAACTTTATGTTACAGAGAGATGGGTTGAATGGTTTGGACTACTTTATTTCACACTACATGGTTCTATTAAGTTGTGATAAGTCCCAATTTTAAGGAGAGAAGAGGAAAAAAAGAAAACCCTAGTTCCTATGTTAAACAGATTCCAAAACTTAAATAATGTGAAGGAAAACTGTTCTGCTTCCAACGTACAGTACAGTTATTTTAACTAGTCTTTACAGAGAAAAGAAATTTAGAACAAGCAACCTAATTGACCAAAGAAATGCACCAACTCTGACATATTCAGAAATATAAAAATGCAATTGTATTAATGGAAGATTGCTTTAAATTTGTTACGTAAGTAACATATTCTATTTAGCATTTATGCCAAATTGGGTCTAAAGCTCACAAACTAAGTTACAAAAGAAAAACAATGTTGCAAAGCAAAAACCTGAGAATGCAGAAGTTTTAACTTAAATCTGAGATGAACATCTTATTTTCTACCCCACCTATTTAACCAAGTGTCTTAAATTACACATTTTACCAACATAGGAAGTCCCAAATAGCTCATCAGGATTACCTGCAGGATACTGCAGATGGACCACTATACCTTCAAACCACAAATTTGAGAGACTAGGATGACCAACAAGGAGTTCAGTTAAGAAACTTAGGAAATTGAAAATGATCTTGAGATACATCTAATTATATAGGTGATAATACAATGCAAAAACTAATTAGTATAATAAACGTAGTATCCACACAGAACCAGACAGCCACCCCTTTGCAAATACCACAGAAGAGAAAGAATACATACAAGGATGGAAGCATGAGCAAGCATTCTTACTTAAAATGTTCATCCTCCGACTCAAGCTCCCGTGGCCACTCTGCATCTTTGGGAGCTTTATTCTTCACTGCTATCATGCAGTTCGTGATTAAAAAAAACCCGCTACACAGGTTCAAATGCCACATAACAAAAAATTTCTGAGGAGATATTTACATTTGCAAGGTCGAGAAATGTTGCAATCTAAGAAAATAGTTCACTTACTATTTTGATCTTTCCTTTATTTGCTTTGTATAGCTAAGGGAATAAAGTTACAACTCCAATTAAGAAGACTTTGGCTATTGGCTTTTCTTTCTCTGGTTTTGAAGTGAACATTCTGTTCTTTTAATTGCAGTTTGCTTTAAACTTGATACTAACTATAACACCTTTCGACAAAATTTACTTTCCACAAGAACTGACCAGGCATGGAGAGGGTTTACCCAAGCCAAAGGTTCCACCTGTCATTTACTGAGAACAGTCTTAATACTATGACAGAAAGACAACTGGACATCTTAGATCAAAGCCAGAGCTAACATGTACTCTTATAAAATGAAGGGAAGCTGTGAAATACTAACTCAGTTATCTGCCTAAGTAACTTTCTATCTTTATCACATTATCTGAGTGAAGACAGTAGCCCATCTTCCCTAATATTTCAGTCAAATACAAAAATTAAATATTTTTTGAAAAGGTAAGTCCCTGATTACCATAAATGCCTGAAATGCATCTGAAAGTTTACTGTCTCCCTTCAGTTTTAGAACACTTAATCAAATCATAACATTTTCCTCCTACTAGAAAACGGTCAGCTAATGTGAATCAAATAAATGCTAAGCATAATAGAAGATCTATTTTTTTTGACCAACAGCTAGTACAACAAATCATTTACTGCAAATCAAAATAATTTTTGAAGTTATTTTTAAAAAATGGCTAAAACCCATGAAAACAGATGAGGATTTAATGTAGTACTCAGTGAGAAGGGCAGAGTCAAAATAACTTTCCTTAAGGACAGTGTAAACAACTGGTTCAGCAAAATGACTGAATTTATTACCTCTGCTATTGTTCAAAATGTTCAGTAACTACCATTGTAAAAAAGAACATAACTAATCTGAAAAGGAAGAACATAACTGATTTTTTTTCAGGGTAATGTTTAAAACAACATTCCTCAACACTGATTTAAGAACTTAACTCAAATTCTGTGGTACATAAAATGGAATTTGTTTTTTAAAATATATGTTGATGTTAAACTAAAAAATTACACAGAAAATTCTACTATATTGGTGCTATTTGAATACAAATTCCCATTATCCTAGACATCAAGAAACTTCTACCTAACTCATGTTTTCTTGTGAAATGCCTATCATAAAATAAACAGCTGGTAGGACCACAGAAAGTAGAAACAGAAATTTGAGACTGATGGAATCTGGAGACTCCTGTAACTTTCAAAATAAGAAAGAGACATCATTTTATAGGAAGAACTCTAAAAACTGATATGCTCAGCAATTACTACCTTGTTCTAGACTGACTGTTCTTGCTTTAGAGTCACTGTTTCAAATGCCTTCTTTTTGAATGAGTCCAGCTTTCATCTCTGCATTTTAACCACATAGCGTTTTAGGGCAACATCAGAAGACAGAGAAGGCACACCCTCCCAGGTTCACCATTTACACCTTTGTTGGCTAAGAAATGTCACTTGTTAAGTGGAAGGAATCAGCAATTTAAGACCTGTATTTTGTCTAACTGCAAGCAAGATTTCAGCTTTTCAAGAAACCCCTAATATTCGGTAGCCAATGCCTCTTCATGTGCCTGATGTAAACCAAAGCGATGCATCAGAATACTCATTTAATGAGTCAAAGTGTCCCACACAGAACAAAACAGCCTTCCCGTTGTAGCTTTTGCTTAAATTTTTCACAAGTTTATCCAGGAAAAAAGTTAACTTTGTTAATAAATGGCACTATGAATCTTCCACAACCATCATATTGTAAGATCACAAGTATTGTTTGGCTTCTGGTACTGGCTACTTCATGGTATACTTATAAAATAGCCTTTCAAGAGAGAACTTTTTCCTACATCTGCACGCTAAGGTCAGACCCTTAGAAGGACAGACTACTTCCTAAACCTTTTTTCTTCCTCACACTAGGGGGATGTTCTGTCTCTTAAAGGAATTAGCAGAAAGTCTTTTAAGTAAACTATTGTGCCAGCAGGACTATATTGTAGAAATACTGATGTATAGTCTGCATAATCTCCTTTAATGGAATTTAAGGCCAATTAGACATACATCACTTGGGATTGGTCTTGGTATCTTCCACTCTGCTTCAGAATAAGGAATCAAAGCAGCTTTCCTTTTCTTGAGAATATGGAAAATAGGTGACCACTTCTCTGTCCTACTACTTCACATACTCATATTTAAAATAACAAATTTTCTAAGACCTGACTTCTGCTCACTTACTTAAACTGTGACTTTGCCAAATCCTTCATTTTATAGCAACCAGTATTGTATTTTATGCAGTTATTCTACATTCAATTTTTAAAATATGTACAGATTACAGTCTAACCTCGCATTCAGACTCTCACAGGACATAATCCACTTCCTACCAAAGTCCACAACATGAACCTACTGATTTTGAAAGCGCACCCAAAGCTATCCAAAGCCATAATTTCAACTAGAAACTTATCACTGGAAATAATTATTTCTAATCTCCAATGAACTGTATATAATTTTCAGAAGAAAGCTCATAAAGCAAGGAGATTCATTCTTCTACACTGACAAAGGCTAAAAGCTGTAAAAACAGAGGCCCTAGCCATAAAACTGATAAAGATTACCTGAATCTGTCATAGGCTATTATCCCCTTCCCATCAATAAAAACACTGAAAAGAGCAAAATACAGATCTTTTCTTCCACAAGAGGCTGGAGAACCAAGGGAAAAAATGGTCTATGTTAGGCTCATTAAACAGCACTTATGTGTTCCACAGTTAGCTTTAAATATGGCAGTAGGTTATAATCCAGCTTTCTGTTCCTACATACATTCTCTGAACAAGAGTGATTTCCAATGGATACGAAGCATTAACAACAAGAAGCCTGTGAAACTGATGTGACACTGAGTAGGTCCGTATCTGTTACAAAACAATATAACTCACGTTATCAACTGACATTAGGTAAAGCACATCCATATACAGCATGCTTTACCACTATAACCGACTCTCTTCCCTAAAAGGTCAATTTTTATGACAAGTACTAACACACGTACTTACCTTTTTGTATCCTCTAGTAATAAACTAAGAGTTCAGTATTTTTATTCCAATTGAGCTACAAACATAGATAGTGTTAAAAACAAAATACAAATACAAAAACCCCCAAAGTCATTACTCAACAATAAGAGTGGCGGAACCAGATCTAAATGAAAATTGCATCAGTACCATCATGTCTTCGAGAAATAAATAAGGTGGTATACATACTTTTCTGCTTGAAGTTTGGTGGTTTTTACTATCAAGTCCTGGGTTTGTTCCTTTGCTGCCTAGAATACAATTAGAATTAAGTATGTGAAACAAACATATCAAATGTATTACACAGCCTTTAAAATATATACTACTTTTGAAGCTTTCTGACTATAAGCAGTTTAAAGAGTGCACCCTTTGAGACAAAGGGCCTTCTTGAAATAAGTATTCATTAACTCTCCCTATTTTCAGGCATCAAAAAATAAATTAATATCCTTATCCATATATATTTTCATATTTATATATGTTTATATTCACACATGGTTATTTTTTAATGTATATTTAATACAAAAGCATTTATATAAATATTAGAAATAGTTCTGATTATTTTGTTTGTCCATCAACTGTAAATTGTTTGCTGTTACAAAACAAAAAATGAAAGAAGTTCGTTTGGATGCTGAACTGTCCAGCACCAGCATCCATCCAGCCATTTCAGACAACATGAATACAGCTGTCTGTGCTGGTCTTAGCAAGTTTAGCTCTACAGCCCAAGCAGCTCACAGGGCTGTAAGGACCAAATGCAATGCACTTAAGAAGTCCACCACAGCCCTAAACGTTCAGTGCTGACAATGCAAGGGAATCCATGCAGAAACAATTCTGCTACAGACAACAGCTGCATGACTAAAGGGATTGCTGCAGCTGAAGTTAAAAGAGTTCAGAAATTTATCCCTCAGCAAAAGGATAAAAGACATCCGGAACTGCTGGTTTCCCACTGGACACCACCAGTGATCTTTTAGGCAGAAAAATAAGAAGATTTAACAACAAAAAAAAAAATCCCGAAATCAAAATACATTCAGTATGGAATAATATTGCAAGTGAAGAAGGGGAAAGAACTATTTTCTCTGTGAATAATTTCAAGACTGTAACAGGTCTAAATTATGGTGTTTGCCAAAATGATGATGCCAGTCTTGAAACCTCTAAGAGGTCTAACGCAAGTATATACACACACTTCTTTCATTTCAGCCTTTCTATCTGCCACGCTATGTTAGTTACAATGGAAAAGCAGTCAAGGTACAGGAACACTTTGCAAGGTGAAAGAAGGACTGCAATCACTCAAGTACAACTTCAGTCATCAGGGAGAGCCTTAACTGTTCCATAAATACAGACAGCGGGCACCACTGAGATGCCAGTTGCCGAATTTTCTAAAGGAAACTATTATGGGCTAGCATGCAAATTTAATAAAAACTCAACAGAATTTACTGAACATTTAGTAGTTCCAAAATAATTTAAGATATCTTTAAGCTTTTTATAGCTTATATAAATAATAATTTTTAATGTATTTTAAACTTTTTTTTAATAATATTGATTTTTAATGCTTCAGCCTAACAAAAAAAGACTATTACAACAAAAGACTGGACCTGAACTATTCAGTAAGGAAATCTAATAATTCCAGGCTTTTTTTTTTTTTTTATCCTTCCTTCACAGTTGCAGATTTTAATAAACCAAATAGACAGAAGAAGAAATTTGCTTCCTTTCCAGTACCTTCTGGACAGAGGTACTAATTGTCAAGAAGAATGCTAACAGTAGGACAGCAGAAAGGAAGGAAAAGCAGTTTTTCTGGATCTGGCTAGATAGATGAGGAAGCCAATTTTTATTTACATGCATTCAAATACATGCCAGATACTGTTATTATTGTATGTATGTAATGTAACAGCTTACATCTAAGCAAAACAAGGTAACTGGCAGAAAAGTCAGACATGCCAGAAAAATCAGAGAGTTGATATTTGATGTCTCTTGCAGATCCAAAATAGAAATATTTTTCTCTTCCTCCCCACAAATTAAAACTTTCATTATCCTTCAGCCCTGCTTTATGCCATTCCAGCACTTGCCTCCTTCTCTCTCCCTTTCAGCCACTGCATTTATCAAGTCACTGTCCCGAAATCAGATCTGACAGTATCTGGTTATTTGGATTGGATGGTATTATAAACTTACAAAATAAAAAAGGCAAAAAGCTTTTTGTCTTATCAATATATAGTCCCTTTCATATCTTGTATTTGTTCTGCTCTCTTAATACACTGCGCTCTCAGCACACTTTTCTGCCTTATATGCTATAGGTCCTCCTCTTTATATCTTCTATTTGCTCTACTGAGTTCATTTTTGTCGTCTTATTCAGCTTGAGCACATGCTTGCAAGTCTTCAAGTCCTATTACAGATAAAATACCAGAGTATTTAACAACTGAGTGCTAGTTCATGGGCTTATTAACTTACTTTACACTCATACATACAAAGAAAACATGGGTTGAACTGAGACAAGTTACAAGTTCTACAACGCTCCAGAGGAAACCTCCTGTGGGGCACAGAACAAAACTACCTACTGACTTTAATAAAAGAAATCACTGCAGGGTGGCTCTACTTTGGGAAAAAAAAATAATCACAGATGATCACTTCATGATCTAAAGACAGAAAAGAGCAAAAATCTGCATGGACACTTGACTCATTTCCACATCTAAGAGATTAATCAAACAGCTCCTGAACTGCACTAGGGAATACATCCACATTAATAGTGTTCAAAGAGATCTGAGACCTCCGAGGTACATTACCCACCGCCTTCCAAAATTTAAAATTAAGTACCGCAGTGGGCTACACTGTACTCTCACACATGCTGGAACAAGTTCATCAAACTACAAGCATTCTTATGGGAATTACATACAATGACTATGAAACCTATTAATCTAAGTAGGGGGACATCTAATGTCCCCACACACACACATTAGGAGGGGAAAAAGCAACTGTTTTCACAGGATTTTTTAGTGAAGGATTCTCATTCACATGCTCTAACTTATGTGCTATATTCAGAACAGATTTGGTTTGGGAAAACATCTACGCTTCAGCAACCATAAACCTTTTAAACTCATCACTGTATTGAATATTCAATCTGTACACTAAAACCAAGCCAGATTTAGTAACGCATGATAAAACAATTTTTTTTTTTCCCCTAGAATATTATGGATTCAGGATTAATACGAAACAGAATTGGTCTAGTTGCGTATCAGCACTCTGAGACAATGCTATGAAACAAAACTAATAGAATGAAGATGGCACACTAGATTTGTCTCCCTCTTTGGATTACAAGATACTTTATGAATATACTTGCGGTATTTATATGAACACATAACTCAACAGATGTAGTCAATGCGAAAGGCACACAAATTTTAAACAGAAATACACAAATGTAGTTAACCCTTTAATTTCATGCACATCCAATCTAAAAATGTTTTTTCTCCACTCACATACAAATGGATATCACATTGCTATTCCCAAAATAAGTATATTGCCGCATTCTGAATTGCAATTTGGAAGAAATTAAAATGACTCCCTCAATATATTTTCTAAATGAGTAAAAAGAAATACATTAATATCCTAAAGTAACATAATACATATACTATGGAAACATCTCAGTGTCACTGTTAATCCTCCAAAATAATTATTTATCTTTTTAAAAGAAAGCAGTTGCACCTCAAAAGAAAAAACATACAAAGCACATTTATTTATATTTTACCTTCAAACGACTGGACATATCTTCACAACAGCTGCTCATTGCTTGCACATCTTCATTTATACTCTCAAGCTCCTAAATAAGTTCAAACAACAGCAATTGTGTTTTAAATCAGAAATGCCATACCTAGGCCCTGCTTCATCCCACCAAAATGAGATGCCCAAGTTACAAGCAACATAGTTGCTTTAGGCTCCCTGTTAATTAACGGACACAATGCACCTCTAAAGATCAACGTTCACTTGGGATTTTTATCTGTTTGAAACATCACCTCTCTCCGTGCAGGATTTTCATCCAATGAAACAAATGATGAAACAATTTTACTGTAAAAGTATATTTGTCCTGAAAAGTCAAAATCTCTCTTCATCCTTTTTTTCTTTTTTAAAACGTTAAATTACATAGCAGTACTCTTGCAAGATCGCTAGTCACACCATAAAAATGCTACCTCTTTAACTTGCTTGAATATGTGGACAAATTCTTCATTTATGGCTAAGCTTCGTCGTTCAATGTCTCCACGCAAGTTTCTTCGGGTGCGCAAACTATTTTCGACAAAAAAGGTCGAGAGAGCCTTGAGTGCTTCCAGCATTTCCTAGAAAATACAACAGACCTTAACTTTCCACACAGTTACAAAGAAGCAGGTTACATAGTCTGTAACCATCCCAAGTTCATGGTCTTATTAAAAAAAAAACAAACCAACAACAAACCTACGACATGGTTTTAGAGAAAAAAATACCTAAACACACTCCAGATCAGTTGGTAAATAACTAAAATAATCGCTGAGTCTTTCTTCTTCTCGTGTGTTATAACACACAACTTTGTCTACTGTTTTAGGATAGCTTTAATCAGTAAGATTACATTAGGTTAAAGCATGACCTATCCATAGCTAGAAAACATTTAAATCAGAAAAAGCTTGCGAAGTGCCCTCCGAGTTAAGCAATACAAACCTCCCTGCGATTGGAAGGGATCGAGCAGGTGCGCGGCATGTCACCGGGGAAGCAAAAATGAATTTTATCTTTAATTAACGCTGCAAACGTCAGCTTGCGACTCCGCAGCGGAACTGAGGGTATGACAGGGCTCGCTTCCCAGTTTCGGAGCCTATCGGGGCTCGCAGCCCCTGACGGCTCATCCGGCCGATTCCCCGCAGGGCGCTCCTCGCCGGGCAGGCCCCGGCCCGGAGGCCCGGCCCGGCCCCCGCTTCGCCCCCTCAGCCGCCGCCCGCCCCACCTTGTCGTTGTCCAGG